AAGGTTTTGGTCAAAAATTAATTATATTGGCCAAAACACTTATAAAACAAAAAATAAATTCTTAACAAAAAATTAACATTAAATTTTAGTTTAAAAAAATATTAATTAATCAGAACGCAATTTTCTGTGCAGAAGCAGCCTCACTCCATATTCACTCTACATTGCAAACTTCAGTTGCAGCTGAATGGTCTTTATTCAAAAATTTAAACAAAAAAACAAGTTTAGCTGCTTTTTCACATCCCAATTGGTTCCTTAATTTTGATATTACCAAACCACAGACTGTCTGTGTACCAAACCCACATACTTCCACACGTATGTGACCAAACCAAAGGTTGAGAAATATCTTTCCAAGCTAGCTGTCTATGCAAATGCTGTCAGCAATTTGCTAGTAACGTTTCGCAATATTTTGGTTTTCTTTATTCGAGATGCATTTCTTTCTGGCACACTTTGCATCTTGGCCAATTACCACTATTTTTTGATTTAATACAGACAAATTGATCCCATACCTACTATTCTTTATTCTTTGGCATTTTATTTTTTTTTTACTTTTATCACTGCGATTAAGAATATAAAACTAACACAATAAAACGACGATTTCGCGGCCAGTATACAATTGTGACAATATATAGCGCTACGGTCGTCTTTTAGACAATGCGCAGGATTAAACGAACGAATTAAACAAATTTTGTGTTTAATAAAATCTACAAATATTTATTAAATTCGTTGAATGGAAATAAAGACTAAATTAAAGGCATATACTTAAGTATATGATTAAAGGCGCCATCTATTAAGAAAATTATATACTTTTTTAAAATGTTATAGGTAATAGATCACCTTTGGAAGAAAAGCTGTTAAATATTAATATTAACAGTTTTGTAAATATCATCATTGCTTATAAATATCGATATATATCGTGATAAATTTCATGATAGCATGTCGTTCTTTCGTAGAAATAATGTCAACACTGTAATTTTATTACAATACATACATTTATCAATGAATTAATAATTAAAAAAATTATATTAAAACGACATGCTTTTTACGTAAATCTAAAAATATTTTCATACCTATACGCTAAAGAAGTATCGGGTTTTCGCAACGCGCGCGCCATCTGGTGGACTTCGAATGCATTGCGTGATTTTAGAATTGTCAACAATAAATTTAAAGCACCGATTATACATCATTTTTAAATAAATAGGTAGTTTTTTTTTACAAAAGAGAGGAAGGCAGAAGTCTTACTCGACAAATATTGTTCAATTGCACAGCTAAATTGCGCACGTTATTTGTGTTTTACGTTCCGAGAAAAAAATTAAAAAACTTTTTAGTACTCGATTTTGATTGATTATTCCTTATATCATTGATTAAGAAACTCCACGCTTAAATGCTTATATAGTTACGTTAGTGTGTGTATTTTATCAAAGGGATCATGGGAATTATTGTGTTTTTAATTGTAAATATAATTCAAGAACAAAATCGTTGCATTTTTGCCAAAGGATCCAATTCGGTAAGTACTATTGCGGCCGATAAAGAGTAATCGACTAATTTTCCCGTTGTAAATATGGTTGTCACCAGTGGCATTTCAAAAATAATTTTATAAAATTAAGTAACGTCATCTTAAATTAAGTAAAGTCATTATTTAATTATGCCTTACCATACTTTAAGTGAAGCAGAGAAAGGCTATATTATCGCCAAAATTGGAGAAGGATGGTCTCAACAACAAATAGCAGATGAAATAAACTGCAGCAAAAGCGCTATTCAAAAATTAAACAAAAAGTGGGTGGAAACTGGTGACCTGAGTAGGGTAATGGGTTCTGGGCGTCCAAGGAATACAACTCCAGTAAACGACAACGAGTTGGTTGAATATGTGAGGCAAAACCCATTTTCTAACTCCATTCAAGCCAAAGAGGAAACCAACTTCCCAGCATCTGTTAGGACGGCAAGAAAACGGTTGCGAGAATAAGGTTTATTTAACTGCGTGAGTGCTAAAAAGCCTCGCTTGACGGATGTTAATAAAAAAGCAAGAGTGGAGTTTGCAAATATTTTTTTTAATCAAAACGCTGAATATTAGGAGCGAGTACTTAGTCTTTTCAGATGAAAAAATATTTCAATCCTGCTACAATGGGAACTGCGAGTTTATCGTCCCAGAAACCATAAGTTTGATGAAGAATACCTCCAAACTGACAACAGCGGAAGATTTTCTGTCCACGTGTGGGCGTGGATATCATTTTCAGGGGCTGGTATAATTCATATTGTAGAAGGCCGATTAACTGGGAACCGATAGGTGGAAATTTTAAACGATGTAATGCTCCCGTCAGTGCAAGAAAGATTTGATAATGATTTTGTGTTTCAACACGTAACACTTTATAATTTATCTTTCCTGATCAAAGGATAACTCGCCAGTTCACACTGCTCATGTGGTTCATAATTGGCTAGAAGAAAATCACATTACAACCCTTCCTTGGCCGATTTAAACCCAATCGAAAATATTTGGGGATATCTCTAAAAAAATATATATAAATATGAATTTAAACCAAGAAATAGAGAAGACCTTATTAATGCAATTCAAAATGAGTGGAACAATTTGGAAGAAAATTACGATATGCAAAATTTAATTAGTTCCATGCCTAGGAGATTACAAAATGTTATAGAGAAGAATGGTGGTTCTACCAAGCATTAATTTTTTTTTAAATGGAGTTTTTATAGCATTACAAATGTGTAAGATTATGTAAGATAATGCCCGAGGGAGGGCTGAATGAAAAAATTGCCAGGGCCGGTTTTTCTGAGCCCATCCAACCCTGGTTGGCTCATCTTTTATAATTGTTATAGTCGTAGTATACTTTTTCTTTTTAAGTTTAAATTTATTTATTTTGGTCGCCCAATAAATAATTTGTTCTTTTTGTTTGTATTACGAATAAACATGCTTTATATAATTTAAGTTTTTTTTATTAAAAAATTAAATATGTCATACCTATGATTTCTTGTCAAAATAATTTAATAATTAAATTATTTTGACAAGAAATCATTATTATCATTATTGACATTATTGACATGACTAACGTAAAAAACCCTACTTACAATAGCCAATTTTTAAGAAAAACATGCAACTTGATAAAGAATCGATTACTTTTTATCGGTCGCAATAGTACATTTGTAGGTGTAGAATTAACTAATGATAACTTTACCTAATATAATTTATATTTAATTTTGAAAATTTTTAAGAAATTAGTAAAAAATAATTTTTGCATAACATAACCTTAAAATCAATCATTCTTAATCAACGCTTTTAATAATGCTAAATGCTCTTTAAACTTAGACGACTTATTTGTTTGACGATTTTTACTGAATTAAAATGTTTACACTTTTCACGTTAATCACTATTATTATTATCACCTATTTCCCAGGTAGCACAACGTGACGAAACCGTGACGATTTGTGTCCAATTGGACACAGATTAACACTGTTTATTGGAAAACCGGTAAACACTCAACCCAGGATTTCCTCTCGAAATACACCCAACAACACAACAAATCGATCCACGTTTTTTTTCGATATTTTTTAACATTATCCGGCTTTATTCCCAAAAACTAGAGATGGGAATCGGAAAGTTTCCATTTTAAGGAAACTTTCCGTTTTGGAAAGTTTCCAATTGGGAATTTATTTTCATTTTGAAAGTTTCTTTTAAGCTACCGGAAACATTCCTTGGAACCTTTCCTTGTTTTTTTCATTTAAATGTCAATTGTTTAACCGCTGATTTTCGTTAAGGCCATGATACAAGGCCAAGAAACTTTGAATAAGAATTTAATGTGTGTTAATTTAAAGCAGAAGAAGAAGTATAAATAATGTAAGTTATGTTACATAACCTCAATAAAGCTATCATCACAAAAAACTTTTTTTAAAAAAAGGTAAACAAAATAAAAACAATAAAAAAAGTTAAAATCATTCTTACATTTTTGTTGTTTATTTATAAGCATAGCACAATGCCAAGAAAAAAATCTAGTGTTTGGAATTATTTTTTACTTTACTTTTTAATATTGCTATATATTAGTTACTTTGTCCCTTTTAATTTTTTTTACGTAATATCTAGGATTTACTAGCAGTGAATTTCTAGTAGTAAACATTTTATTTTTATTTTGTAGGTTTTAGTATACAATAGGACTATTCCAAAGTAAAAGATACTAAAAATAGTATTGCAGTTACATTCTTATAAACATTTTTTTTTCTTAATAAAATTTGACAAAAAGTTAATGTGTTATATATTTTGGCAAATCCCTGGCATAAAAAAAAATATTTTCGCAATAAAAATTTTTTTTTCTGAAAATTTCGGGAATTTTCGATGGAAAGTTTCCGGGAATTTTCGTCAAATGGGAATTTTCCCATCTCTACCAAAAAACTCGTTTGTAACCTAAGCGTTTGACAGCTGATTATTAAAAGTTCCACTTTTGTTACGATGATAACAGCTACTATAGAAGTATGGCTATAGCCATACTTCTTTAGTGTATACATACATTTATCAATGAATTAATAATTCAAAAAATTATATTATAAAATCACTAGATTAATCAATTGATTCCTTAACGACATGCTCTTTACGTAAATCTAGAAATATTTTCATACCTATGGCAACGCTGATAATTTATCAGAAATTAAGAAATATTCTTGAGTAATACACTATGAATTGTGGGGTAAGAAACAAAATATAGGCGTAATCTTAACGTTTAAAATGTGCCAAACGTGAACCAAAAAATGGCGTCGAATTAAAGAATTTTCCTTCGATACAAATGTGCTTGAAGCATCGAAGGGCAAACGTCAAAACTTTAAATGTGAGAACGACAGATAATTGGCGCCATTCTTTAATTCCTTTTCACTTAAATTTTAAGTCTTAAAAACACTAAAAACAAACTTGTTGACACCTCAAAGCGATACTTTACACCGGTGTGGAATAGGCGTTACGAATCCATTCTCTTTTATTGCATTAATTTTTGGGCCTAAATATTATAAACCCCGGACCTGCGGGATTTGTTACACAGCTGAGTTCTGTCAAATAGTCAAAAAACAAACTTTTTACTTACATAATGGCTTCTATAATGTTAAAAAAATGCAACTTGCTGGTAAGTACAATCAATTGCATTTAAATTCACACGAAATCAAATTATTCTATGATCCAATTAAACAAAAAACATCAATAAAACAACCTAACCCTACTTTTTAGAAAATTGCACAGCCTTCTATAAGCAGAACATTCACTGCGATTTCAACGAAACTCTACAGCACAGGTAACGTGATTGATCCACCAGATGATGTTTTGTTTAAAATACCTGTAAATCCAAGCAGAGAAAATGAACCTCTACAGCAAAGAAAGAATAGGTTAGTTTTTAAAAACGACAATATGAGTGAAACAAATATATTTCCCTTGCTTTCCAAAATATTTTGATTGTAAAAAGTGACATTTTAAAACACAATAGTGCAAAAATTGTATATTTTACATTTAAGATTGCAGTATCAGTCTCGTAAACGTGGTATGTTGGAAAATGACTTACTACTAGCAACATTTGCAGCCAAATACTTAAAAGGTTTCAATGCCACAGAAACAGAAGAATATGATCGGTAATATATACGCAAAAAATCAAAAAATATTTATTTAATTAGGTATTTTATTTTTTAGACTTATTAACGGACCTTCAAACGATTGGGACTTATACTACTGGGCAACAGGAATTAAACCAATTCCAGAAGAGTACAACAATAAATGCATGAGCATGTTGGCCGAACATTGCAAGAATCTAAATAAAGAAGTCAGGATTCGTCAGCCCAATTTAGTTTCTATGTAAAACAAAGAATTCATGTTGCAGTATTGTATTTTAAGTAATTTATAATGTGTTGTAACCAAAAATGGTGTATTTTTTAAGTCCCATATTCTAATATTTTATTTTAGAGTGTATGTACGCAACTTTTAATACAAGGTGTATTTGGGGTTGCATATATTCCAATTACTATATTAGGGACCGGATTAAAACTAGTGTACTTAAATATAATATAATAAGTTGTTAGGTAAAATCTATATTATAGATTTTATGATAATGTGGGTATTCATTCAATTAACGTTTCAAATATGTATTAAAAAATAATTTAACAATTATTTTTATTTAACAAGAAAGGCAAAATACCTACATACAATAAAAATAACAAATAAAATAGCCAATGGATTAACATTTTTAAAAATAGCTTTCAAATTGTGATCAATAGGATTCCGAACTCGGCGTGTCGTATAAATCTATCTTTCTATATATTTTCTTTGGTTTGTAAGAGAAATAATAGGGACCTGAGTAAAGGCTATGTTATACAGTGGTGTCTGGATGAAGTGCTATTTTTAAATTCGACGCCGGCTATACGAAAATAGACGGACAGCTGGTTTCTATGCGTATATTCTATACCTAATGATGAAATTTAGAGATTAAAAAAGGTTGTATATTCAAAAAGCATTTTCTTTTTCAGCACCTAAACAATTTTAAAGTTGGAAATATTATAAAAAATACAAAAAAACAAAAACTTTTCATAATTTCATAATAATTTTTATGCACGATGACATTATAATATGACAATTATAACAAAAATTCTTTGACGTAAATGTCTTTTTATAGCCCGCGGGCGTTATTATCACCCAGCGGGCTATAATGAAACGTCAAAAATTAAAAACAACAATGTTACACCTTTTGATATATTCGAAGTAAGTTTTTTCGTATAAAGATTTTGATTTTTCCGGCAGCAGGCCGCAATTTTTCGCCTTTTCAGCTGCTTCCTCAATTTCATTCATCTTTAAACTTTATAACTGACTGATGTCAGTTGACATTATAATATGACAATTATAACAAAAATTCTTTGACGTAAACGTCTTTAAAAACAATAATATATTAAAAATAATAATATATTAATCGTGCATAAAGTTTTGTATGCATTGCTGGCATAACTGGTTTTTATGGTCCTACGACGCTTTTCTAGCCCTCGCGCTAACGCGCTCGGGCTCGAAATAGCGCCTCGGACCATAAAAACCTTATTATGCCCTTAATACATAAATAACTATTAAAAATCTATACAATATTAACACAATAATTATATTATAATTATTATGTATATATAAATTTATTAAATAAAAAATACGATTATAGATAATTGGTACATTTCCTACAATATTACTTATAATATTCCTTATACTTAAAAAATCCTTTGCCAACAAGCAATTAAAGTTTTTATGAATATTTTAAAACCTTGGTTGCTGTGCCTAATCCTGTATAAGAGAGATATTTAGATTATTATTATGATATATTGAAGATTTTGAAATAAGTATTTTATTACATTTTGGGCTTTTAACAAACATTATTTTTTTTTAAGTATATATGGAGAATTCCACCCCTTTTGATTTGGCTGAATTATTTTAATCATTTTCTACCCCATTAAATTTGAATAAATGTTTGTTTTTTGATGTAATTTTCCGAAAAAAATACCAAACAATTTTTGATGTCAAATTCTATGAAATTATTCAGTTTTTTGAAAAATATACTTTCCTTATTTTATATAAAAAACTTCGATTAATTTTGCGAATAATGCTACTAAATCCACTTTTAATTGAAAATTTATTTTTTAAATTTTTTCCCAATCGTTTATTTATTTTCTTATAAATTTTTTTTTATAATAAAATCAATTTCATCAAATTTTATTATAAAAATAAAAACAGTTTTTTAAAACAATACTTTGGGAAAAGCATTAATCACTGAATAAATCTTAAAGTTAAAAAGAATGCGATTTTAAAAAACTGTTGGTATATTTTCTAAAATCAAAATCAAATTTGAAAAAAACCGTCCCATTTGGTCAATTTTTAAAAAGGTTATGGGTATTTAAAAAAAAATTTTTTGAAAAAATTTAACTTTATTTTTGGTTGAGTAAAAAAATGTGAAAAAATTCTTGGAAAAATTTTCAGTGGGGTGGAAAATACAACAAAAATTCAGGCAAATCCAAAGGGTTCAAAAGTGGTCGATTTGGCATGGAACAAATAAATCTTAAAGTTAAAAAAAATGCGATTTTAAAAAACTGTTGGTATATTTTCTAAAAATCAAAATCAAATTTGAAAAAAACCGTCCCATTTGGTCAATTTTTAAAAAGGTTATGGGTATTTAAAAAAACATTTTTTTGAAAAAATTTAACTTTATTTTTGGTTGAGTAAAAAAATATGAAACAATTCTTGGAAAAATATTCAGTGGGGTGGAAAAATACAACAAAAATTCAGGCAAATCCAAAGGGTTCAAAAGTGGTCGATTTGGCGTGGAACGACCCATATGTACGTACCTCAAACCTTGTTATTAAAAAACAAAACGAACTAAGTACGCTTATATTTACCGATACGTAGGTAGTACAGGAATATTTATATAAACAATAATTAGCAAAAAGGTATACTTTTCACCTTGATCTATTATTATAATTAATCAATGTTAAAGAGACAACCTACACTTAATAAATGCATTGCAGGTTTATGGTAATGAAATACATACATAATAAGAGTAAAATCATCTGAATAAAATTTAAAATCGAATCTTCTAGAGAAATTTGCAAAATAAAAAGCTCCTAAAATGGGCAAACCAAAAAAGGAATTATGAGCAATACTAATATTCCGGTAACAAACGTTTGCAAATGTGTTTATCACTTGGTAGGTGCAAACATTATATAAGGAATTACATCCTACACCTTTGTAATGCACAAGCATGATTTCACTGTGGATATTACAAACTCGATTTAATGCATTTTTTTTAGTTTTGATTATTTCTTCATATTAGGACATTTAAAAGATTGTTTTCATCTCAATCATGCCTTACCAATAAGTGACCTAACTAGCATTTTACTATTTTTTACAAAAATGAGCTAAATTAAATAGAATAATTCGCAGAAAATAATTTTTTCCAATTTTGTAGGTTAGGCCACTTCGTTATAAGACCGATTCCAGCAGCAATAATAGTATATTATGTATCAAGTTTGATAAAACACCATTTTACTGCTTAATTAAATGAGTGAAGGGGCATATATATATATATATATATGAACGTTAAGCAGTTTATTTTAATTCTTTTAAACAATAATAAAGGGAAGAGATGTTAAAAACAGTTTTTTTCAGATGTGAAAAAAACCTAAAAAAAACGGTTTTTTCGTTTTTTTTCAAATCCGGATTTGAAAAAAAACGAAAAAACCTTTTTTTTTAGGTTTTTTTCACATCTGAAAAAAACTGTTTTTAACATCTCTTCCCTTTATTATTGCGGCCGCTACAGGGTATTTCCGCGAAACCTTACCCCACCTTAACAAAAAATCCTATTAAAATGTTATTTAACAAAAGAACAACTACACTCTGCACAAAAATTAACGCATCACCATTAAAAGTGACAAAAAAGTTCTTCTTTATTTTAATTTTCGATATATTGGAGTTTTGGGCCACCCTGTATGTTGGATTTGGATACGTACATGCAAAAAAGAATAAGTTTTTTAATGTTTAAATGTTTTTGTAACATAAATACTGATACTTTAAAATTTCAACAAACTTTTGCGATTATTTGCTTTCAATCTTTAGTTAGTAAACGTGGTTATTGTGGTGTTAAATTTTTAAAATTAATAAAATGAACAATCCTGACCGCCAGAGAAGAAATTTGGGACATGACGAAGTGGTTAGAATAATTACATTGCTTGAAGAAGGACGTAGTCAACGTTACATTGCAAATATTTTTGATGTTCAACAATCGACTATTTCTAGGGTTGCTGCCCGGTTCAGGGAAACAGGGCAATACGACAGAAGACCTGGCCAGGGTCGTCCAAGAATTACCACAGCAGCGGACACCCGATTTATAACATTAACGGCTCTTCCAACTAGGCACTGTACAGCGCGAATGCTGCAAAGCGAACTATCCGGTGCCCGCAACACAAGAGTTTGTGTGCAAACAATAAGAAATCGTCTTCGGGAAGCCAGGGTGGCCGATTTGTGTCCACGTCTTACCAGGGAGCATCGTGTTGCACGATTGGAGTTTGCCAGAAATCATGTGAATTGGGATATAGACGATTGGTCCAATGTTTTGTTTTCTGATGAATCCAGGTTTAGCCTGTTTTCATCTGATCGACGTATTCCAGTCTACAGGCGTGATGGCGAACGATATTTTCAGTGTAACATCAGAGAAACGGAACCTTTTGGTGGTGGCTCTGTTATGATGTGGGGAGGAATTTCTTTTGCGGCTCGCACAGAGTTAGTTCCAGTTGTGGGAGGAAATTTAACAGCTGCAAGATACATAACGGACATTCTTCGACCTCATGTTGTACCATACGTCCCATTTATTGGCGATAATTTTGTTTTTATGCAAGACAACGCTCGCCCGCACACAGCTTTAATTGTTCGTCAGTACCTTACCGAAGTTGGTATCCCCACATTGGATTGGCCAGCTCGAAGTCCCGATTTAAATCCAATAGAGCATGTTTGGGACAATTTATCACGACAAGTACGAAATCGGCCAATTCTCCCCATCACCTTAAATCATCTTCAAAATGCTCTAACCGAGGAATGGAACAATTTGCCGGAACATTTTATGCAAAGCCTTATTTTAAGTATGCCACGTCGATGTCTGGCAGTAATTAGAGCACGGGGTAACAATACAAGGTATTAATTTTGTTTTGATTATCGATTACAACTAAATTACTTTTTTAAATTTGTAAAAAAAATCAAATAAATTTTTTTGGTCTCTTCTTAAGTTTTTTTTTGACCAATTTTGCATACAAATAGTTTTTAATTTATAAGACATCAAACTGAAGAAAATAAATTACAATTTTTTTTCGTTTTATAAGAAAATTAAAGTGATGCGTTAATTTTTGTGCAGAGTGTATATCTGAAGTCAAATAGTTTAATTGCGACGTAATTTATACCCTTAAAATATTCGTACATTGTGATGCCAAGAATCTAACATTAAGAATAAACACGGAAGAGTTTCAATACTCGATAAAATGTTCAAATGTCGCACCCGTTACATTTTGAGAAAGTTTTAGAAAATAAAGTATACAATATTTGTGCATTTAAAATACGTGCTTGTTTAAAGTTACTATTCAAGTTTTACACAAAAAATTATTACTATATGCTTTCATCCAAAATTTTAAAGTATCAAGTTTAGAAGCCAACTTGGTCGCATTTGCCGATTTTCTAAGGTCGCGCCCGTTACGCGATTCATGACGTTATAAAAGGTTTTCTATACAAGTGTTTATTGACATTTTGTTTGAGTCAAACACACAGCAAACGGAAAATTATAGAGGTGTATAGGATGACGCCACGTTTGAATA